CTATGTTAATCACCACAGCTGGCATTTATTCCAATAAAGGGTTAATTCCAAAATGAAACCAGACAATCATATCTATATTCATCTGAATATCAAAATATAAGTCTTACCATTGTTGCAATAATTTCAGGCAACATCCACTTAATCTATTTCTACAAGCTTTATCTGCATAGCTTCTATGTTCCATCTTCACATAATCACTTCAAAGTTGTAAAATGTAAGAATTACTGCTATGAAGAAAACAGACACATATAGTTATATATACAAAAACTGAACATAAGCTGTAGGTAAATACTTAAATCAAAAATATCGGAGTAAAATATATTTTAAGAATAAAAAAGAACAATGTGAATGTTTTAAGTTGCATTCCAAACATACAAGAGCTTATACCATGCACAGGCAGAGTACATCTCTAGAATACATCAGTGAAAAGTAAAAACATTGTAATTTTAAGTATTTATTTATTTATATTTATTTATTTAATTTATATCCCGCCTATCTGGTCAGTTATGACCACTCTAGGTGGCTTACAACATAAATAAAATACACATACAATACATAAATGAATATAAAATTATTTAACGAAGACATTAGGGGTTAACTGGAGGGAAGGCCTGCCGAAGCATCCACGTTTTTAGCTGATTTTTAAAAATACCCAGCAAGGGGGCCGCATGAATCTCCGGAGGTAGGTTGTTCCAGAGGCGAGGAGCCACCGCCGAGAAGGCCCAGTTTCTTGTTTTTTTTCCTTCCAGGCCTCCCTTGGCGTCAGGCTCCTCAGCCTCACCTCCCGATTTGCATGAGTGCCACGGGTAGAACTTGGTGGGAGTAGGCGTTCTGCCAAGTATCAAGGACCTAAACCGTTTAGGGCTTTGTACGGAAGTATCAAAACTTTGAAGTCAGTGCAGAAACGAATGGGCAGCCAGTGCAGCGTGGCCAGAATAGGAGAAATATGATGGAATTTTCTCACTCCCGTAAGGAGACTGGCTGCCACATTCTGCACCACTTGGAGTTTCCGTGTCAACCTCAAAGGCAGCCCCACGTAGAGCACATTGCAGTGGTCTAATCTGGAGATTACAAGCGCATGAACCAAGGTAGTGAACGCCCCCGTATCGAGATAGGGTCGCAGCTGGGCTATCCGCCAAAGATGGAAAAAGGTGGAATGGACCACCGACACCACCTGAGTTTCGATGGTGAACGGCAGGTCCAGATGGATCCCCAGGCTGCGGACCCCACTCTTTATGGCACAGGTGACCCCCCCAAATGAGAGAGAGTCACCCAAGCCACCAACGGTGGGGGCACCCACCCTAAGAACCTCCGTCTTGTACTCTTTGACAGTATTTTAAAAGTAAGTTAAAAATATCAAAGATGCTAAAAGTAAAAATGTATTTACACACACAATAATACTAAATGCTCACCCCAACCACAGAAATTAAAGTCTACATGATATCCATGTTATCTGTTCCTTCCAGCATCTGGAAACAAGACCTGCTGCTGTGCTGTCACATCTTCTTTGATGTTTGGTGCCCAAAATGGCATGGAGTGGTGATTAATGCTTCTCTGGTTTATCTCCATGTCCAGCTGTTCTGCTACACTATATCAATGTTGTTGATATCCAGTGTGTGTGGCATAACATGAAATTGTCTTGTTATGAATGAATGCCTCATTGTGTTGTCTCATATCTCCCCATATTTATACTTCTTCAGATCTTCTTGATGTGTAAACAACCAGTTTTACAGAACTTGCCGGTTACAGGAGTCTGATGTTCAAAAGAACGTTGTCCCAATATTTACAACCCTTTGTGTTGTCAGGGGTCTGCAAACTTACTTTTGGCTAACAGCCATCATTATGATAAGTAGTATTCTTATGGCTAATGTTTTTCAGAGCTTAGAGCTCTAATGGTCTAGGACTGTAACCCGACAGGTAAATTAGACACTATTGTAATAACAACTTAGGATTCTAAATTCTTGTAAAATTTAAAATATTACTCTCACTGGTAATGTGTGCTACTATAATCACAAATTTTTCATATTCCCACCATCTAGACAACTCCATTCATCTGTTGTTTGCTATAAATTTATCTAAGTTTACCAATTTTAACCCAAACATTCATTCAGTTGCCAAGATTGTTTATAATTCATTGTCCTTATTTTGCTAGAGCTGGTTAACTGTTTTGAACTTCAGCAGATTGTTTGGAAAAACACAAAGTTCAAATCAAAATTTCCCTTTTAAAGCACTTTTTTTCCTGCACCCATCATAGTTGTTTTATTATTTTCCCGACTCTCTCGAACACACAACATTCCAAACCTTGACAGGAATGTTACAGGGATATGTCCTAGTGCCTGTCACTTTCAAAGTGGGTTGAGGTTGTTAAATAAATATATGTTGTTAAACACAGTGGCAATGATGACTGAAGATCCAACATATTATCACACAATGCAATATATTTTTGACAAACAATTATTATAACAATTTTCCTAAACTTCCCCAGAGTGTACATACAGACTAATATAGAACAGGTCAGTGAATTCTCAAACCTTGGGCAGCCAAGCCTAATAACAATCTAATGTTTTATGATCCCAGAATTCATGTTCCCGGATTTTGTTTACTGTATTTACAGTCATAGCATGCCCATTCCCAAGGACTCTGATCATTGCTGAGCAGTAAAGCATCGCAACATATGAAGGTGAGTCTTCAAAAGAAAATGTATTGGCCTGCCTAACCCATTGTTAGAGTATGATTGTTGTCTAATATTTATTTGATCAAATCTATAAATGGACAAATCTACTGAAAACAGGCTTAGTCGTGTACATATTTATCTGAAAGGTGACTCCACTGAATTTTAGAATAAATGAGAGTGGTTACTTCTAATTAATCATGCATAGGATAAGATGGTAAATTGAAATTGAATCCTGACAAGACAGAGATCATGTTGTTAGGAGGGAAACATGCCTGGGGCAGAGGTATTTTGCCTGGTTTAGATGAGATCACAGTCCCTCTAAAAGACCAGATCTGTAACTTGGGTGTGCTCTTTGACCTGGCTCTCCCCATGAAGAAGCAAATCTCTGCAGTGGCCAGGTCTCCCTTTTCCCATCTTTGGCAGATTGTAATGACTAGTTTTGTACTGGGAGCACTGCAGTACAATCACATCTCCCTGATCCTAGTACACCTGCATTGGTATCCTGTTTGCTCCCATGCCAAATTCAAAGTGCTAGTATTAACCTATAAGGCCCTTAACAGTTTGGGACCTTGTCAGAGTGTCTTTCCTTAAGATCATCGACCTTGGTCACCTGGGCCAGCCAGGCTTTGGTTACCCCTAGAAAGGTGTAGAAAAGTACTACCAAGAACCATGTCTTATTGGTGGTGATCTGCTGATATATGCCAGGTTCCATGCCTTCTTTCCTTCCAGAAACATGTTAAATCTATGTTGTTTGAAGAGGAAAATTATCCCCTTTAGACATACTTTTGGATCCATGATTTGGATGTTAATTTTAATTCGCCATCCTCTGGTTTTATTTTATCCTTTTGTTACTGTTATTGTTGGGTCTTAGTACTGATGTGATTGCAAGTGATGGGTGGGTAATTGTTTTCTGTTGTTGTTGACATCTGAATAACGTGTTACACTCTCCAGTGTTTATTTCTGTTCCACCATCTGATCTCTTGAGGATTTATGTCCGTGTTGATTTCACTTTATGATTTGTCTTCTATTTTTTATTTGGATTTTGGATTTCTGTTGACTATTTATGTCCATATTGATTTCACTTTATGATTTGTCTTTTATTTTTTATTTGGATTTTGGATTTCTGTTTGATTTTGCTTAATTTTTAAATTTAAGCCCACCACTGATGGTTGTAATGTAACAATGTCTTTATTGTGTGTCTTTCTTTTGAACTGTAAACCACCCAATGTGGTCTCGTAGCCAGATAGGTGGTACAAAAGTTGAGTTGAGTTTAAATGAATGAATCAATAAATCAATAAGCAAGCAAGCAAACAAGCAAGCAAGCCAACCAGAGTAGTGCCCAGTCATTAGATGGAATAAAAATGTCATTAATAACCCGCCTTGGGTTCTTTTTAAGGAGAAAGAGGGGATAAAAATATTTTAAATAGATGGTGCAAATTGCCTTAGAGCAAGCCCAAGAGAGTTTGCTGCTTGAAGCAAATAGCCATATGGCACCTTATCCTGGTCCCCATGCACATACATCCCATGCACACAACTCAATAGGACTCATGGATAAATCTTAGATCAATACTGGCGATAGACAGCACCTACATTCACTACACCTAAGTTTTGTCCTCAAGCAGCATTTAATTTATTTCTTTCCTTGCTCCCCTGCCCCAGCTGCAGTTACAAGACGTGATTGCCTCACTCTGTCTAATGGTAGGGCTGGCCGTGCACTGTCTTCATGAGCTGGGCATTGACATGACTAGGCATTAGTCTGTATTAGAGCCAAATTATAGCATACAGATTGCTCCTCACTTCCAAATGTTTACATATGTGCTCGCTCTCTCTTTTCCCCCCATATATGTGTGTGTGTCTCCCTCTCTCTTCCCCCCATATATGTGTGTGTGTGTGTGTGTGTGTGTGTGTGAGAGAGAGAGAGAGATGTATTAAGTTCAACACCATTTGATCAGTTCTAATCACTTTTACATCCATTCACTTTTGCATTGTAGTGCTCTCAACCTATATTCAAATATAACCAGCTGGATTCCTTTGCTCAGTCAAGGATTCTCCTAAAGCTTAAGGACAGTGAAGCTCAGAAAGTGTGTGGAGGAGCAGTTAATTCAGTTTCATGCAAGGGTTAAGATGACTTTATTCCCCCTTTTCTTCACAACTAATAAAATTTCAAATGCATACTCTTACGTGTGTCTTTTTGAGGGAGGGTGGTAGAAGGGGAATCCTCAGTACCTATTGGCTGGGCTCTATCAGCTGCAGTTCAGCTCCAGCTGCTGCTAAAGAGCTGTATTGATCTGAAGGGTAAATGAGTAGAGAGAACCAGAGGGAGAGGGAGAGAGAGATCCACTTATTTCTGAGAAGATAGACAACCTTTGCCAGAAAGAAAGTGGTTCAACCCGTCTGCTTTCCTTGTCGTGCGTTTGGTGAATGAAAAAAAAGGACGTTTGAGAAGGCAGTTTGTTGCTATGGTGGGGTAGAGAGAGATACATGGTTTTCTTTTAGTAGAAGCTTCTGTTGCATCTTACTGTCGCTGCTGCTTCTCTGGCTGCTGCACTTGCACAGAGCAGGTAAGTGTTGTTTTCAAGCAAAACAAAATAATGATGATGGAATGCATTCAGATTCTTTTCCCCCCTTGCATTCCTGGATCCAGTTTGGGATACAGGATTTGTAAATGCTGCATCATTGGATTGTTTAGAGGTTTTGCACTCTGGAAGAAGAAAGGATCTGTTTATTGATAGGGGAGGCTGTCCCACATACCCTGGAAGGAAAAACTTGAGTAAGTTCTGGAGGAAGTGGATAAGTCTTTGACATGCTGCAGGTGTTGACTGGAAAAAGCAAGGGGGGGCTGTCATGGAGTGAGCAGCTGTTTTGTTTTTGCAAAAGTGCAAGGGGGTGGAAGATTTTGTCTCCATTGTGGCTTCATAATGTAAAGGTGGTGATCATAGATTATTTGATCTCAGATAAATGTTCAGATAAGAGTGAGAAATGTTCATAAATGTGCCTGTCAGTAGCTGTGATGTTTCTAAAATTGTCCTTTCTGTTCAGAAGTAAGGTACAGTGAAGTACAAGATTCACAAGTAAGATATAATGCATTGTAATGTATTACAATGTGTTCTCTCTCTTCACAAGTATTACCATTTAAAGTATAACTTATTTCTGGTGCAATTTTAAGAATTTTTAAGAAATGATAACAAGATGGTTGAAGTGGTAGAGCAACTGAAGACAGGGGGGACTCATTTATTTCTGCTCAAAAGTAGAACATCTAAAGCAACTTCCCTCAGTAAATCCATGTGTCTATTACATGTTGTTTTCCTTGCTCTAAAGTAGATTCTTAGCTACAATGTCCAAGCAGTCTAATTCAACCCTGGTAGCTATGAGATTTTGATGTAAGCTTGGATATATGATTACCATCTTCTTTTCCAAATGATCTCAGTCAAATTACTCATAAGGTGATAAGTGAAATGTGTAAATCTTAACTAAGCATTTGAATGAACTACTTAGCACTGAATTGCAGCCTCATGTTTTGGATGCAAGATATTAGGGTGGAAGCAGAAGCATCATTTGCCTTCTCCTTCTACATGTATAACTCTCACTCTCCCCACCACAAAAAATAAATTAGAAATATGATTCACAGTTCTGTGACTTTGACAGGCTTGTATTCAGGGGCACATATTTTCTCTGTATTAAACTGCTTTCCACTGTGACAGAACAGGTGACCATTGGATTTTTATGTTTGAATTCTGTGATGCTTTGTGATCATATCCCCTCCCCCCAATACATTGTAAAATAGATCCACGGGGTGCTTATGAGAGGGGAAAAACAGCATGGCTGTTGTGCTGGAAAACACCCAAAAAGTGATTTAAATTTTCTTTGCTCTATGGTTTTCCACTTCCAGTGCTGCCAACAAAAGCATCACAATGTGAGCATAATGAGCAGGTGTTAATGACAAGCACTGCACTTTCTGATGTATACTTTGCAGTAAGACAAAGCGTTATTGAATGTAAATGCTATGCATAGAAGAAAAGTATTCACAATACAATCATGTAATTCACAAACTGGTCACAAGGTCTCCCCCCCCCCGTCAGACCTGATTAGATGTTTCAGTGACTGCCACCAACTGTCAAGAGGGTTTCTCAAGAGTTTTACAAATATGTCCCCAGAAAGGGAAGCCAGATGGTTATACCACCAAAGTCATAAGCAGTTAATTGCTGAGCCGATTTGGAGCCCTCTGGAACATATCAGCACCTAAACTACAGGGCTTACATCTTAACTGATCAAAGTCCTTTCTCAACACTCACCTGTACCAAGATCAAAGAGTCCTTTTTGGAAGCTATACAGTAATACATGCACTCGGCTCTTGGTAAGAAGACAAATGGTGGTTTAATATGGAAAGCTATGCCAGGAAAAGAATTTGTTTGGTGCCTCTGCCTGCAGCTAAAACTGTGTCTTTTTGTCATCATTGTCATTTGCTGTTTGGGATTTGTTTACAAAATAGCTGTAGTTCATGCCAAGCCTGCGGCATTCCATATATGTTTTGCTGGACTGTGTAGCAGGTAGAGACCATAAGCTCTCCCAAGGCTTATGATCCATTCACCTGGGCAGAAGGAAGTTTTGGTCCATAGGAATGTGGAGGTTTTTCAAACCCATTCACTTGCACTGTCACTTTGATAACCGTATGTAGTCATTCATGATTATCGTTTATTACATCTGCATAACACCTAGATGATTGATGCCATTTTTTTCAGTCTTACAGCTATCTTTTGAATAGGGGTGTCATTTAGCTAATATAAAAACCAAGCCGTTCCTAATAATCAATATTAGAGCGTAAGTTTCAATCCACTTCATATAAAGAACGAATCTCCACATTTCTGAAATTCCCCAAGAGCCATGTGATATTGTGTTCTACTCCAGCAGCTCTAACGGCTGTGTGTCAGCTCTGAAGCTGCAATAACATCAACCTGAAAGTAAATTTCACTATTCCAGTGGAATTGATTTACACTTATGAGCCCTAGCTCACATTATTTCGTCAGCGCACATACCACTGCAGTTCATCTGTTTCATGTACCATTCTTGCAGCATAGAACTGTGGGATTATTGATGGAAACAATATTTACGGATATCGGGGAAGCACCAGTGGAGGATAGGGGTACATAGTGTCTCCCCACAAGACTTGAGGCTTGTGAAATCTCTGTTACATATAGTGCTTCTACTACTGTGGTTCCTGTCACTTCAATGATGGCATAGCCACCCTCACCTTTATTGAGAGTATATTTGTCATCCTTAGGCTCAACTGTCATCTTAGCACACTGTTGCAGTTGCCACCGAAGAATTTATGCAGGTTGTATAGTTCCCATGCCTCAGCACCTGTCTATGTGCACCCTTCTGACTCATAACTTTTTTGGAACATAAATTAAATAGATTACTCAAGAGGACGTAACATCTGTTATATATTCGAAAACCATCGTTGTTGTTATCGTCATTGTCATCATCATTGCCATTGTTACCATCATCTGTTCCTTTTGGATTAAGCATGAAGAATAAGCATTTGCTAGAATGTGATCAACTGGTTTTAAAATAAGCCAATTGACATTCCTGTCATTTGTGTTTGAGGGAAGCATTCTGTTATTATTTATCTTGTTTCTATGTTTTTAGTTTTCTGTAAGAAACCTAGACTGTTTTTAAAAAAGACGAAGACATTTTCATAATACCAATACCAACACCTATGATTCTCTAGGTGCCCATTGATATCATCAACTGCACTTGGGTCTCTGAATCATCATGACCCTGTTCTTCCTCCTTGGTTTGAATCAGACCATCCCTGCTGTCTCTCTCCATTTGCTATAAACAGCCTGCACTGGCATACAAAAGAATTGCAGGGTTTATTCACAGAATGAACAATGTTAGCTGGCATAGGAAGAGCTTTTGAGGCTTCCATTTTCAACCTTTTCATAGCCCATCTTTGAAATCTAGTAAATGACCCCAAATGCATCTTACGAGAACATAAAATATATCCCAAACAGGTAGATTACAGGAAATGTTACCATATTGATGCCATGCTTCCCTATGTCTGGTCCCCACGTGACGTGATAATTTGTTTCTAGAGCAGATTCTCAAGTATTATTCAGCTATAGGAAAACTGGTCCCATACAATGATTGATACCTATGATTCCAATTTTTTGAATGGTGATTGCTCTCTAATCAAGACCATTCATCCATTTGGAAACTCAGGTAACCTGCTAAATTTCCGCTTCTCAAGACAGCCATTCTTGAAAAAACAGGCAAGGGACCCTTTCCTGAGGTTGTGATAGCCTGTTCAGAACTCACTGATTAACATACGATATATCATCTTCAATGCAAGAATGAGAGTAGAGCCCTATTCAGGCATTATATCAGAAAATGTGAAAGGCTAAATGGCTGATGCAAGCCCCCATCAATTACTTTTTCCTCACACTACCCCATTCCCATCATCCCTGTTCATGCCCACTCTACCAGGAAGTGAAGCAGACCTTTCTGTGTTCAGTGTGAAAGTGTGCAGAGGCATTTCTACACATATTTGATTGAATGTGCTTACAGAACTCCCATGCTTGAGAGCCCATATCAGCTGAATGTACTGACAAGTGCCTCTGCAGACCTTCACACTGAACCTGCTACACTCTGCCATATTTCTTGGTGGATTGGGGATGCTGCAGAAAGGTTTATGTGCATACTGTTACCACACAGCTTGATCTCAGCCTTCCACTCTCTGTAACTCCTAAATAAGACCTGGCACAGCTTGGAGAGTTGCTATAGATAAGCCTCTCAACCCATTACAGTGGTGCCCTGCTTGACGACAATAATGCATTCCAGGCAAATCGCTGTTAAGCAAAATTGTCATCAAGCTGAAAAAAAAAACTCCATTGAAATGCATTGAAAACCAGTCAATGTGTTCCAATGGGGGAAATACCTGCTCGTCCAGCGAAGATCCTGCATAGGGGAAGCCATTTTGCATCGCTGTCTTCCGGAAATAGGTCCGGAAAACAGTGGGGAGCCATTTTGAAAACCCAAAGATCAGCTGTTTTTAATCATCGTAATACAAAAAACAAGTTCCCGAAGCAGGGAACTAATCGTTGTAAAATGAAAAAAAACCCCATTGAATCATCATTTTGCAATCGCTATAGCACAAGCAAGAGAGGGCTGCCACCCTGGGATGTGAACTGGTCTCTGAACAATGCCATAATCATTTAATCCCTCCCCATTCCAGGTTCTGTAGAAAGGTTGGAGGCAACAGGAAAAGAGGAAAACCAAATGTGAGATGCATTGACGCCATCAGAGAGCCCACAGGGTTGAGTTTGCAGCAGCTGTGCAGGGCTCGCTGATCGCAAAAACCTCATCGTCAAGCGATTTCATCGTCAAACAGGGTAATCGCCAAGTGCAGCACTGCTACCCTGAATTATATTTGAACAGGTCTTACTCAGTCTGTGGCTACCAAGCCTAAAGCAGCTCACTAGCCATATATTGTAGCAAAACAGGTACTTGACAGACTCCTGATGTTTGTAGTCCTTGTTAAGGACCATACCCAAGAAACATG